CAGGGCCGCGGGGAGGGCTGTGCCGCGGGCGGCCCTCCTGACACGCAGCGGGGTCCCGGGGGTTCAACCGGGCGCTGCCCCTCTGCCATCCCCCTTCGGTTGGCTCTGGTCTGGGTGCCAGCGCCTGTGAGCCCTGAAGGAGCAACCATGGCCCCCAGGGACTATCTGCAGGTCCACGAAGGGGCACGATCTGTCATCGCCCTTAGGCTCAAGCTGCTAAACATCGTCACGGCTCCAGTGCTCTGTTACTTCATGTGGTGTTGAGCAGTTGAGGCTGTTGTCCAGAACTTGATTTTATTTATTTAAAAAAAAAAAACACCCACACACACAAAAAAAACGAAAAGAAAAAAAACACAAAACAAAACAATCCCAACAATCCCCAAAAAGCCTAAACAAACACACCCCCCTCAAAAAAACCAACCAAAAAAACCCCCAAAAACAAATACAAACTCAAATTAAAAAGCACAGAAGGATCAAAGACACGAGTTCTGTAAGCACACCCATTCATGGGCAGGTGCAGTGTCATAGCAAAAGGGGCTGACAGCTGTTCAAGGGAAGAGTAACAGTTGTTTTAGAGAGACGACCCACATAAGCCGTATGGATGATTTGGGGGGTGATAAGTAGGATCCAGAAATTACTTTCTTGTCCTAAAAACTATTCACACAGAGCAGTAAGTAATCTTAATTGTATTTCCTGTGTTCAGTATTTTTGAAACATTATTTTAAAGATCATCTTAGCAAGTACCTACTTAGAAGAACTGATTATTCTTTATCCTATTGATAGATTGTCGGAACGGAACTGCATAGAAATTGTCACAAAACTGATAGCAGAAAAGCAGTTGGAAGTAGTGCATACACTTGATGGAAAAGAGTATGTCACTCCAGCACAGATTAGTAGGGAGATCCGGGATGAGCTTCACGTTTCTGGTGGTAAGTGTGGCATTTGCTTGTTTCCTCTGGATTTGGAAGTTAATTTTGAAAAATGCTGAAAGAATTTGAAAGTTTTCTTCAGTATCCTTAATCTTGCAAAAAAAAGGGGAGCTTGCTTCGTATTGCTTCATCTACACATGAATTCTCCTACTGTTATTTTATTTTTACTTCAGATCTGTATTAAGCTTTTAGGTAAGCATGTCAAGATATATTAGTTGGTTCATTTTCAGCTATGCAGAATTTCTGAGGTCACAGTGGTCTAAGAAATCTTTTGAAGGAAATTTGTCATTTTAGTGTGTTTAAGTGTCTGGCCAAGATGTTTGGCCTTGACTCAGAATTTCAAAATCATTCTCCTTTCATGTCATTAGTAATAATAATATTTCTGAACTGTCATTGACAAGTCTTTTATTTTATCAGTATGAAGAGCCATCTGCTTTGTAAGATCTTAGACATGTAAGAAAGCAAATATGCTTTGAACTGCTTTTTGTCAATAGTTTTAGTGCAAAGACGGTATATTGTACTTTTAGTTATATGTAAGGGTGAATTTCATTACATCATATGTCTGGAAAATTTACCTTCCTTTTATGTTCATACAGATAAGTAATTTTCCTACAAGTACCACAAGTATGCCTCAGGTTGTGTTATGCCATTGTGTATCACATCATTATGATAGCTCAAATTGAATTTAAAGTTGCTGGTTTTTGTTAGTAGCATCATGCAAAGGTAGAAGGTTTAGCAATGTGTGTTTTGATACTCGTGGACTAGTGGACAAATCCAGATCAGCATCAAGGCAACAGTTAATTAGGACAGAGTTTGAACTGTGATTTTTACTTCCGTCATTTCTGTATTGGATTGTCAGCAAGGCCATAGGGTAGAACAATATGGAATATCTTGCACCGACTGCCTGTGATTTGACAATATATAAAGCTGATACTGGTTTAATTGTTCTACAAAAAAGTAATGAGGAAATATTTTGCACATGATGGACTATGCTATATTCTAAATCTGCTCAAGTGTGTTTTACATACTAAAAGTATATTTGTACTTTTTTTTTGAAGGTCGAGTAAACATTGTTGACTTACAACAGGTAACTTCTTAGTAATAAAAAACTACTACTTCTTTCTTTTCTTCACCATGTATATTGTATACATATGGAGTTCATCAATTATATGCCAGCTAAGTTATTTTTTTAAAAGAGAACAGACTTTATGAAGAGCTGATAGCTTGTGTCAGAGTACTGCAGATTACTTAATCCATTCATTTACTGTTTTATTGAAAGCTCCTGTCTGCTTAATGGTAATCTATGACCTCTGAAATCACCACTAAAATATACAGATTTTCTTTCTGAACTCTTCCTTTGTAAACTAAGGGGAGCAAAGAGAAAAAAAATGTTTCCAATTTAAAGCTGCAGGAGCATGCTTAATTAACTTTGCATGCTTCTTTGGATCTTCCCTCTTCCTTTATTAATCTCATCTCCACTAATCTTTATCCTCCAGTAGTCTTCCTCTGTGACTAATTTTCCCTTCTGGCTTAAGTAAAATTACTTGGAATAAGAAAACCTTTCTGAAAGACAGTTTAGTATTTTCTGTTTGTAGCTTCTTGGAATTTTTTATTATATATGTTTCTTTTAACCTTGTCACAGTTGCAAAAAGAGGGTTTTTTCCCCTAAAGCATTGCTGCTTTATTCTAAATCACAGATTAACTGTGTATATATGCAATAGTAGAAAAAAATAAAAGGAACTTTCCTCAAGGCATAGGAATGTGTAAGTATAATATTTCAGTGTTTAAGAATTAATTTAAATTTAAAGTTCTGATAGATTTTGTTGTGCCTTTTTTTTTAGGTAATAAATGTGGACCTTCTGCACATTGAAAACAGAGCTAATGACATCGTTAAATCTGAAAAAACTATTCAGCTTGTACTGGGACAACTTATAAATGAGTGAGTACTTTCAGGAGCAACATGTATAATTCACACTTGTTTTATTTTTTAAAATGCAGACTAAAAGTGATGGCCTGCTGCTGTTGCTTCTGAAGTGAAATACGTTTTTCTTGACTGCTGCTAGGGCTGCTTGTTGATTAGTGCTTCTTTTCCAAATGGCAGGTGAGGTCTATCTCAGCAGAGCATCCAGTGAATCCGTGGAGCAAAGACCTTTCTGAATGTCTCTGCCCAGTATCCCACGCTTAAGAGGCTTCATTTCTTACCCAGTGTCTTTGTGTACAGCAGCCAGATCTCACTGGCTCTGTGGCTTTGCTACCTGCCTCAGATCTTGACAAACCCTCCCATTTTTTCCCACCCCTTACTTTACCTCACAAGCCTAAGATGTGTGAGCAAGTCATTTTTTGGCATTCAGCACACTAACAGCCACTGAAGTGGTACTCTTATGGGGTTGTCTCTATTATTGATCGCAAAGCAGGATTTATTCTTGGCAAAGATTGTGAAGTTCCTGGCTCTCTTGAAATAATTAAGACCTATCTTGCTCACTAAAGCCTTTTTCTAAGTCTCAGTGACATGCTATGTTTTCCTGTTCCTGCTTTTTGACAGTTTCATACAAGCAGATGAGTGGCCAGTTTTCATGCTCGCTACCTGGTTAGCAGGCTTTTTAAAAAATCTGACATTTGCACTGACACATAACTGCTCCTTTACTCATTTAAAGTAACTTTCAGTTTATTTTTGCAAAGATGCAACAGAAAGAGGTATACTGCCAGATCAATTAATAATTCCACATGTGGATAACAGGTTGATCTTGCATTTCACACTTAATCTGTTGAGGGTTTTTTTTTCTTGCTTTTAAATAAGGAGTTACCTGGATCAACTAGCAGAGGAAATAAATGATAAACTACAGGAAACTGGCCAGGTGACAATATCAGAACTCTGCAAGGCATACGACCTTCCAGGAGACTTCCTGATACAGGTAATGCAAGCCACCAACCTAGCAAATGTAGAATTGATTGTGTTCACCTTCTTTTGTCATCTTTGCAGTATCCATGGCTTTAATGTGATAAGCTACTTGTCATTCTAAGCAGAAAAGTATTAGATACATAAGGGTTGCAGGTTGTGCTATTCAGAAATTGAGGCTGATGTTCACCTTTTCACTTTTGGGCAAAATGTCTTTAGAATCTTTATGACTGTTAGGAACAGATTAGGATTAGTATTAGGAAAATTAGTTACAGGTTAGATTAGTGGAAGATCTGAAAATGTCTTTGTTTGAAATATTAGAGAGAAGGTGTAGGGGTAATTTTATCAGTCTCATTAGCTTCCGAGGAAGCAGAAATACAATGGTAGAGAACTTTCCATTTATTCAGATAAGGTAAAATAAACATTAGTTTCTAGAAGCTGAAGCCAGACATTCAGAATAAAAACGAAACACTATTTCCCTTTGTTAGTGACTGTTGTAGTGTTAAAAAGGATTAGGGAGAATTATCTTACCATTGTTAACTTTCAGTCAAGGTTGGATTTTGTCTGAAAAGTATTATTTTCAAAGGGCAATCCTGCGGCATGTGTTAGGTGAACAGTCGTATTGGGTGCCACAGACATTCTTGTTGACTCTCAATTTATGAACAGATTTCATCTAATGTTTGTTGTGTGGTCAGCTTCTCCAAAAAAAATTCTAACATATGAAAATTATTACATTATTTCTCTTTTTCTCCTGGGCAGTATTTCCTAGGTTTAGTTCACTTTGTAAGGATGCACATTTATAAACTGTTCTCACTTTTTTGTGTTTACTGTTGCTAATTTTTGTCTCAACTGTTTGAAAAATGGATAGTGAATTCCTCTGCCACTGTTTTGTACTAAATTAATACAAAGGTTATAACATAGTTTTCTTTGTGCATTTCCAAACCCTACTTATTTCTTGCGCAAAGTTTTCTTTCATCATTAGATACACATTTATCTAATAGAAGAGGGCATTGTTAGGAAAGCTGAATTCCCTGAATTTTGGCGTGTGGGCTGTCATGGTATCAACTCACATATAGTAAGACACATTCTCAATGTACCTAAATAATCATTTCCACTTGTAGTCCTCATTTCTGAATATTTTGTCTGTCTTAGCAAAACTAATTTGCCGATCTGTTAATACAGATTCTTTGATTAATTTTTGTTTCACATCGTTAATATACAATTTTAGCAGTCATCCCAGCTTCTATTTACAGGCCTTGTCCAGGCGTTTGGGTAGAATTATTCATGGACAACTAGACCAGGAAAACCGTGGGGTGATTTTTACAGAAGCCTTTGTGTCCCGGCATCGAGCACGCATTCGTGGTCTCTTCACTGCGATTACTCGGTAAATTGCAACACCTGCAACCACAGATTAAAGTATTATTACCATAGATCCTTATGGACCAAATTCACTTGTGACTGAAAAAGAAAAGACAAGAAAAACCTGTGGATAGATTTCTTTTAAGTGTGGTTCAGTTCCTGGCATGACATGTTTAGTTACAATAGACTGACTTTTTTGAAATGAGGATTGCCTTTTGGAAGGAGAACAAGGAAAGTATAAAAATATACAACATACTTAAGTGTTTGGGCTGAAGAAAATGTTAATCAGTAGTTCTTTTATTGGTTTGGAGAGTATCTATTGTCACTGTCATTCCACTGCTGCCCAGTCAATTAAGTATTGATATCTACCTACTACATTTGATTATAGATAATTTTTTCCTATTATATCAATAATATTCTGTATCAATTTGTATAAAGAGAAAAATTCGGGACAGCAAAAGTTCCCTTTCAGCAGTTATCGTAGCTCTGTTGTAAGATATAACTTCATAGTAATTCAAAATTAAAACCTTGTAAGCTGTGTTAAATAGCAGCGTAGCACCTTGGGGCTAAGATACTCTCTAGTTTTGTCCATCTGGAGTAACCTGTCTGATTTCTAGATTCTCCGTATCAATTTCAGGTTATTAACTTACATTGTTTCGTTTTTCTTTTTTTCCAAGGCCTACACCTGTAAGTAACTTGATCACTCGGTATGGATTTCAAGAACATTTACTTTACTGTGAGTTTCATTCAGACTGTTTTGTATTTTTGTTAGTTAATTCATAGATTCTTCATTACTGCAGGTATGCTTTCAAAGAACTACTTTAGAATATAGCCTTAATTCTGGAATAAAGAACAATGTTTTTCTGTAGTGTAAAAAGTGTTAAACCTTTTGTGCTATCCATAAGTGAAGAGATGTTGTCTGTATCTAAAGCAATGAAAGCATACATTGATGAAATGTCCCTGGGGGCAGAATGATGCAAGAAGTACAGTACTCATTTTGTCATCTGTTTCGTTATTTGCCCTTAGCTACTGACAGTTTGATCAGTGAAGCGCACAAAAGGGGACAGATTTTATGTAGCCAAATGGCATTAACTGCTCTGCATTTTATTTGTTGACTTTTCTCTGTGATAACAGAGGCAGAGCTTTTGTTATGCTCTTAGTTAAATAACTTTATATGCTGAAAGAGAAAGCATGTCCTTAAACTCCTTGCTTTTATTTTCCACAATTCCTTTTCAAAATAGAAATTCATAAAGATCCAACTGCTGAATCTTTCAGGCAGTACTTAATTGTTCTCACTTCCAGTGTTGCAGCTTTTCTTTGACTACCAGGAATCGTCTCCCGTCTGTCCAAAATGCTGCTTCAAGCATCGTTAGTTTTGTATGCTGGCTGACCAAGTGCTGCTGGTCTTTAGAATCCCTTAATGGTTTTCTATCTCTTCTCATGAAAGTTAATATTTCTCTTCTGTTCGACTGGGTCTTTTTGCCTTCAGGGCATTTCACACTTAAGCTTTACTGTAATATCTCTCTGCTTACCTTCTTGTTCTCTGCAACAAGCTTATTCATTAAAAATGAAAATCTTAGCATTTAAATAAAATCATATAAGCACTCTACATTCACATAATCAATTTAAATCTCCCTCTTTTTTTTGGAATGTGCCATCTAGATATTCATAGATTAAAAGGAAAATCTGCTAGACTGCATTGTAGTAATCACAGAATCACAGAACGGTAGGGCTTGGAAGGGACCTCTGGAGATCATCCAGTCCAACCCCTCTGCCAAAGCAGGTTCACCCAGAGCAGATTGCACAGGACTGCATCCAGGCAGGTTTTTAATATCTCCAGAGGAGGAGACTCCACAACCTCTCCAGGCAGCCTGTTCCAGGGCTCTAATGTTGCAGTATCCAACAAATTTCAGTTTGCAGTTACAGTCTTTTTCAAAGAGGTCCTGCAAGTGTGTGATCACGTATTGCTCATGCACAGTGTTTGTGTGAGTTGAAGTTCTTGTTTTTTCCTAGCGTTACCAGTAATTGTCACGATGGCTAAGTGTATTTCTAGTACTTTATTTTTCTTTATTTTTTTAGTGAGTTTGTTTGTCTTTAGCTTTTCTTACTGTATGTCATTTCCTTTGCAGTTTCATGTATTTCAAAGAGCATTTTACTGCTAGAGTGCGTTTGATTTTATTCTCTCCATTTTCTGAGATACCATTTCAATTCCACAAATGCTGGAAACTTGAAAAATATCTTTTTAATTATGTTACTTATACTCTTTGCTTTTTATATTTGTCATTATTAGCAATGTGTTTTAAAGTGGTCTTTGACAGTTTTGTGACTCTCCCAGAAAAAAAAAAATGTAAGTTCAGTGTACTGCTTGTGTAATTTACAAACAGCTAATTATTTAATCAACACTAGACAAGATAATAGTTTTTGGTTCTGTCACATAGCTCAGCTCCTATTCGTGTTAAGGTGACATGAATTTATGATAGAAATTAAATAATTTTAGATATGAGGAACTGTTTAAGTTAAAACTTTAATTACAAAGCATAATGAAAGCACAGATGTTCTTCATTTCCAAATATTGTGTAGCTGATGTAGGACAGGCATGGAGGGTTGTTTGTTATCTTTGCCAGACTTTGACAGAGACCTAATAGGACACTACAAGCTACTCAATCAGCTTTAAAAATACATGTGAGATGACAGTAGTTCTGCAAAGATCCTGTTGTTTTGTTTTCAAACAGAAGACTGGGTGTAATTGTGGTAGAGGTTATGAAATCTCCTCTGAAAGCATCTTCTCTGCCCTGGAGTTTTAGAACTGGCACTTGAAACAATGCAAAAATTAATTGGCATCTTCATTTCTCCCCCTTTCTCTGTAAAGACTCTGGTTTATTGCTAGTGCTCCACAAAATGATTTGAAATACCTATAGAGGTTTTACATTTTTCCCAAAAACTTTGAATAAAAACAAGTTGAGATTGCAAACTGTATTGTCTGACAATTGTTTAAGTAGAATAGGCACATTGACTTACTTTCTAGGGTAACTAAACTATTAGTAAGTATAAAACTATATAACTAAACTATTAGTAATTATAAAAATCTAACTTCACAATCTGTTTTATAAGCTAAATTTTACCCGAGACAACTGAACCATGGCAGAACATAGTTTCCAACTCTTGTCTTAGATTATGTAAAACTGTATCTTTTTTTAATCGGTTTCTCTTTCTTCTACATTTTTTCATTGCAATTACTTTGTTAGTGGTAGTCATGCTCAATAGCTGCTATCTTATAGAGATTTATCTACATTGTGGGCATATCTGACAAAAAAAAAAAAAATAATGATTTAAAATGCAGTATCTCTTCTGGAACCAGGTTTTTCTGTGTAGGTAAGCTAAACTTCCGTATGCTGTACTAAGCACATGGAAATGTTGACTGCTACTCATATTTAATGAGGAAGGAGCTGTACCACATCATACCATTTAGTGTTCTGTTCCAGGGTAAAACCTGTCTTTTAGTGAAATAGATATCAGCACAAGCTGGAGGTTAAGAAGGCCATCTAGCTAACCTCTGGAAGTCAGGAGAGCTTGGCAGTTGATGTCACTGATTTTTTTTATATATCTAGTGACATATGAAAAGGCAAAAGCAGAACATATAAGGCAAATCAGATATTCCTGTGCACATTTAATGGTTTGAAAATACCTTATTTAGCATTGAGAAAGGCTTAGTACTTTGGTATTATCAGTTACCAATACGTTCTTCATCAGTGATATTTGTGCATTATCAGGAGGTTATTGCTGACAAGTGTGAACATTATAAACCATGAAGATGGTCACCAGTAGGAGGTGCTCACATTTATGTGGTTTAGGTAGCATTTTTTTTATGTCATTTTAGTGTGTTCAGACCTCTCTTTTCTTCCATCTTGGTTATTATGCAAGCAGTGAATTCAAAGAGAACATTATTAATAAAATGCTCATATATTTTAATGTCTGTCCAGAGAAAGATTCTTTTGTGACTACATTTTCTAAATTAAAAGCTAAAACTTTCCAGGTATATGTTCAACAAAAAGTGTTTTGATCCTGCCGTTGTGGCTCACTCTTTTGAAATATTGTATGATTTCCAGAGCTTTTATCAAGGCATTCCCATAAGTGTTAAAAGTAATTGATAGAACTCAGAAATGTTTCTTTAGTACAAGCACTTGTAGTTTGGTCTTCAGTTTCTTTCAATTACTAATGAAAAGAAAAACAACTAATGGGTGGGAAAAAAGAAGAAACAGGGAAAATAATTGCTATGTTTTGATTAATGGATATATCAGAGTGGAAAATGTCACTTCATTTATTTTCTTTCTGTAGCTGTGCTAGAAGAACTTGTTAACACTGGTCGTCTAAAAGGCACCGTGGTTGGTGGGAGACAGGATAAGGCTGTGTTTGTTCCAGACATCTACGCCAGAACACAGAGCAACTGGGTGGATTCCTTTTTCAAGCAGAATGGTTACTTAGGTAATTAATCTTTATTCATGTAGATAAAAATATCTTTCTAAAACTAGTTTAGGTAATTGGTCTTCCCCTAATATAGCTATTGTCTAGAGTGAAGCCTCACAAGAATAAGTGGAAATCAATGCAGTGGTTGATATGCCTTTGTAAAAGACCATCTTGCTTACAGTGATGTGTGTTACTTTACCACGAAGAACTGCATTTCAGCAAACAGAACTGTACTGCTAAAGAGTAACTTTATGTCTCACAGAGTTACTGAAAACATTTCTTAGACTGCTCATTGTAGACTTTTCCAATGATCATATTTGACCCACAGAGTTGGAGTTTCAGTCCAGGAGTCCAGAATACAACCACACTTTCACTGTTAATAGTTCAGAATGCCAAGTGTGCAGTGTACAGGAAGAACCTTTTCCAAAATAAGATTTGTAGAACTGGAGTGGGTAGCACTGTCCTGATTTGAATCCAAACAAGTACACCGAACTTAAAGCTGAGTGATGCTGGACGATGGTGTTTTAGAACCGGAACTATGGGAAAACGTGGACCTGAATAAACAGAGAATTGTACCCTTATGGTCCCAAAGGACCAGTCCCTAAATAACAGTTAGTCTTGCAGTTTGAAAAGGTTTATGGCATAATTTACTGTAGTAGTATTAAGTGTTTCTGTAATATTCCTTGACTGATAGAGCATCTGTTGAAGTCTTTGAATGTTTTCAGAATATCTAAGTATAAACTGCCACATAGTTGAAATGCTTGGGAGGTATTGCATGAGTCTATGAGTATATTGGAGTAACTTTTGAAAACAAAATATTTTGACGTATGTATTGCAAATATTGTTCATGTTATATTAGAATACTTTGGAAAGATACAATCACAAAGATAAACTTAATGGTATAAGAATCTGAAAACTTTTTTTTTTTTTTTCCAACACTCAGACCAAAGTCATGTCCATTAGTTAATTTTCATATTTCTATTAGCTCTGTTTACTTGTAGCTTGTACTGAACTAAGTTCTAGGTCAGCATCAGCTTGAGGCTACATTTACTTGTATAAAAACTGCATGTAATTCTTAATTTCCTGCTTTCAAAAAAAATTACCACATAAGATCCACTATGTATATGAAGGTACTTAAATGTAACAGACATCTAACTATTTTATAGAATTTGATGCATTGTACAGACTTGGCATCCCTGACCCAGCAGGCTACATTAAGAAAAGATACAAGTCCACACAACTCTTGTTTCTGAGAGCAGCTTGTGTCGGTCAAGAAATTTTGGATCAAGTTGAAGCCTCTGTAGAGGAAGCCATCAGCTCTGGAAGCTGGATAGATGTAGCAGTAAGCAATCCTTTCAGTTGTTGTTGTTGTTGAATTTATTTATTTTGACTTATTTTTGTGTCAAATGAAAATGTATTGAAATTCTGTTAAAGTAAAATTACAAGTAAAAAAGCCTTATTTGCCTTTAAGTTGGTCTGAACAAAACCACAGTAGGAACATGTCAGTATTCAGTTGAGAGATACCTAAGAGTAACTTCCATTTCAAAATTAGTGCTCATGTATTCTGCTAGAGAGCGATGTATTTGTGGGGAGGCTTTTTGGGGGGAAATAGGTTTAAACTGAACTCTTATGACAGTTCTGATAAGCAGAGGAATATTAACTGGGGGGGAAATAGGTTTAAACTGAACTCTGACAGTTCTGATAAGCAGAGGAATATTAACTGTTTTGTCCTGGCTCATTCCTAGTTTTAGGCCTTAACAGCACTATGTTGTTTGTAAGAAGGCCTGCTGTTGTTTTGTGTTTGGCATTACTCTGTATCTGTTAAGCTGCATTTTGAAGAAGTCCCCATGTGTTGTCCCAGAGGTAACATATATTCTAGAGCAATGTTAATGTGGGATGTTGGAAGATTTTAAATAGTGTTTATTCTTAAATCACTGGTTTAATTTTAAAAGTGCAATGTATTCTAAATAGTTCACAGATGTCAAATGGAATGTCTGTGGATTCTGTTTATCCACATACAAGTATGTCTGTCCATTCTACAGCAGATTATTGTATGTAATTTTTTTTTCTTTACCCTAGACTCTTCTGCCCAGTTCATTGTCAGTAGACGATATTGGGATTTTGCTTCAGCAAGTGATGAGATCTTTAAACAAAAATTCTTCAGGTTTAGTCTTCAGTGACACCATTGTGGTCAGTGAGAAATTCCTAAGCAGCTGTGCTGATCTGTTTTCTGATATGATGCAACAGAAGGCTGAAAAGGTACAGGGTTTTTTATTGGTCAAGAAGCAATATACAATGCATGTTGGACTATAGTTTATGTGACTTTCTGTTTGCTGTTACCATCTCTTTCCATCTCATCTGAAATACAGCTCGAGAAGAAGGGCAAAAAGGAAGAAAAGATTTGTAGGTGTAATCAGTGTAATTTAATGTATATTCAGTTGCACTCAGGGGTCACCATCACACTAACAGTATGATCAGGTGCTGAATTTTTAAGAGGAGAATAAAGGTCTCTTCATGTGTTGCACTTGAAAAACATGGTATTAGATCAGTATACTTAAAAATAACCAAATGGCTTGAACGTTTCCATATGTATCTTTTGTTGCTGTGTGTAGCTTTTTGCTATTAAATGTATGTTCTTCATTTTAGGAAATGAAAAATAACCCTGTTAATTTAATCACTGAAGAAGATTTAAAACAGGTTTCTGGTTTGGAGAATTTATATGCTAATAAAAAAGACAAAAAGGATGAAAGAAGAAAGAAAGCAACAGGTAAGGCATCAATATTTATCTTAAGCCAGAATTTTTTTTTTTTAAAAGGCTTATTTAGCCTTGGAAATATTCAAATGAAAAGTTACTGTATTTTGTAGTCCATTAGTTGTCTCCAATCCATTGCTGAAGATATTTAAGAAATAATCCAACCACTTCTCATCCTTATACTGTAGGTGTATCTGAGCTATGTCCATAAGGACTGATTTCAGATTTAGAAGTGCAAAGGAAGTACAATAAAGGAAGTTAGTCCAACACAAAACAACTGGCTTTAGAAGCAAGGAATCCATGTTCATTTATTAGTGTGTACAGTGTGGTGACATAAGACTGAGTTGTGCAGTGAGGACTGATGAAACCAGTATTAGCTCAGGGACCTCTCTACCATTCTTTATTACACAGAGTAGACAAACTCATACTCTTCACTTTTCGGAGATCCAGGAAATGAAAATATTTCTTAATAGTCTTGAGGAGTTACTTCCAAAATCACTCTGTCTAAATTGAGAAATGAGGTATTAAGATGGGGGGTTTTTTGAGAATATTGTACATCTTTTCTGAGAATCCCATGCCGATATTCTGTTGTTTACCAGTATAACAGTTATTTGGAGATTCACACAGTTTAAGATATGTTCTGGGTTAAATTAATCTCAAACCTTACTCCATTTGTATGGTGGCTGTTTGGAATAGATCTTAATCTGAGGAAGAATAAAAATGTGTGGGTTTAACCCTTTCAAATCTTTCTGGTTTTTAAAACATTATTGAGACTAAAGTATTTTCAGTCTCTGAAACTTTATGTGGCTCTTGTATTGCTACAGCACAGCTGAGCAATCTGTGTTGAACTCACATGCAGAGTTTTATGTGCTACTGAAAGTAGCAGAGCACTGATGCATCTAGCTTAATTGAATATAGTCCTCTGACAAATAAAACATTATATTCTACTCTTAAAAAGGCCATGACTGAGTTGGCATAGAATCTAAACTTATTCTTGCTACAAGAGACAGCAGATTTTTCTAGACCAAAGCTGAAGCAGAAAAGCTTGAACTTTAATTGAACTGTCATAAATATGACTTTACTTTCTAACCCTCTGGGGAGGGGAACTCTGCTGAGCATGTACTGCGTGTCTAGGCAGATTCGTATCCACAGGTACATACGCTGCACCATCAGCAAGCACTACCCTGAAGTGTGGTTTTTATGGACTGTTAGGTGTATTACCTTAAAACAATCAACATCACGGTTTAAAGATTAGATGTTGTTATTGCATAATGGCAATATGTGGCCCATGTCAGGCTGCCTGTCTTAAGGTCTGTGGGTGACTATATCAATATCTACTGTTTAAGTGTAACCTGAGGTGCTGTTAATGTAGTTCGTTAAAAATATGGATTCTGCCATTTGAAATTCTGCCATGTGATTAATTAAAATTTTCAAGATAAAAGTCTCTGTCATCTATTTATAACACCATTTGCAACAGTCTGTTACAAATAAGTATCTATAGAGGCATGTACTCTTGTAATCCTTTGTGTACATTACAGTCCATGTGTCCTGCTGTCATAAAATATGGCTTTTCTGGCAGTAGTCTCTCCTGCTTCATCTCTGTGTGGATAAGATCTTGACTGCAGATTGCAGCTTTTTCTATATGGCTATAAAGTGGAATACAGAATGAAGAGAGCTTTTTTCCAAAATAACTTTGTATTTTGCACAGTTGACAAACAGCTTGTATCAGCTGAATGCAGTCACATTTCAAACAAGCTTGTGAAAAACACCGACTGTTGGGGTTTTTTATTTTTTCTTGGAGAGGTCACAAACTCAGAAAGTCTCACAAGTACACCGTCCACTGCTAGCTGTGAGGGAACTGACTAGTTTGCTGTTCCTGCAAAGTAACGCTTAAAAATCCATCTATATCACATGACAGATGCAGTCAGCTTTGTGCGTGGGGGCATCTTGTCTTTGTGTTTCTTTTTTTAAATTATAGTACTGTTATATAATGTAGTTACTTTAAATCTTGGACCTTATGTTTAAATGGAAAAATAATTACTTTCTCAAGTCTTAATGCATGTATAGAACCAATTATTCTGCAGTTTAAATTTTTTTCTAGTGAAAAAAAAGAAGGGAACAAGCTGTGATAAAGGGAACGAACAGCATAGCAGCTTACCTTGTGGAAATTGCAAATTGAGGTCCTGTCTGCAGTGTGAATACATGGATTACAGGACCTGTGAACTAAGTAATTTGTTGTGTTTAACTGGAACATCTCATTGCTTTATAGTCATATAGAAATGGTTGAAAAAGAATTAGCGTTACATTTAATTGAATGCAGGCTTCCAAAAATATCTTAGATAAATGCTTACCACATAGGATTCTTTTTCTGAGAGTTAACACAGTTACAGTGTCTGGAATATTTTTAAGTAGGTACATTGTTCAGCATCACTGAATAAAAATGTTAAGTGCTTACTAAGATGCTATTTTCAGCCAACAGAAATTCTCCTGTTACATTATGGAGATACACTGGTATCTCATTTGTTTTTAGCTGGAAAAGGATATTGCCCCTTTTTTTTAATTATATGTTTATTTGATATGATTACTGTTTGTGTTTATTAATGACATTAGCTTAAACAAAGCTTTGACTCATTTGATTTTTTTTTATTCACAATGAAACTTATGTCCCTACGATTCTGGAATATGTATTGCAGGTTACATTTAGAATCAGCTTGTGTGGGTTTTTTTAATTCAGCATTAACAAGTAATGCAGATAAATTATCATAATACTGCAAACTTTTTAAGTGCTAAAACTTTACTGTGTACTAAGCAAATGATTCTCCACCAGAGGGCGGTGGAAGCGTGAGAGGAGGAGGAGGTGGTAACGCTAGAGAGATCAAGATTAAGAAAACCAAGAAGAAAGGAAGAAAGGATGCTGACAGCGATGAAGAGTCACAAGCAACTAGCACAAGTTGGTCTTTTATTTTGAGCACTATCTATTCATACTGACATGTTTTTATCCCTTGCTTTTACACATCTCTTTTTCCATACTCTATTGGTAAGGTCAGGTAAAATCATTATCAAGGATGAGAATACTATTTAGTTAGAATTGTATTAATGGATATGATGTTGCTATTTAAATGAAATTGATTTACTGTATTCACTGAAAAGTATATCTTAGTCTTTAAAAAAAAAAAACTGAGTAAAGGAAATTAGAGCGTTTCTTCTGTGGATGTTTGGACTTTGAGGTATTTCAATGTCTGATGCCACACAGTAACTGCAGCAAAACTAAATACAGTGTTTTCTTGATGAATGTTGCTCATGGCTGTTACAGGTAGGAATAAGCAACCAGAGTTCCCTTTCATGTCACAAGAGGAAATTCAGGATGTTTTAAAGACCCACATGCAGGATTGCCCTGAAGAGCTTATTACAGAACTTGCTGAACATCTAATAAGGTAATTTGAGTAATTCAACTAGAGTTAGAAAGTCTGTGATTCACTTCAGATGAATCTTCTCTTCAGTCTGTTTTCTTGTTTAGAAAAAATGTTTTGCTGATGGAAGTGAACCACAATATTCTTTTTCTATACAGCTCCATGTTACATACTTGCTTATGTATTAGAAAGCCATACTGACACAGTAATGAGAATTAATGCTTCTGCTTCACAGTAGGTGGTTCTGCCTCCTTTGTCAGCAAGTATATTTTCAGGTTCAAGGGTGTATTTCCGCCTCTTACACTGATCCATGTTGGAGTTTTACCAGTCCTATCTTCTGTACAGCCCTTGGTATGTGTTCAGGTTCTCTGTCTTTTTGTGGCTCCACTGGTACCTGTGTGAATTAGGTAGTAAGCTAGGTCAGCAAACTGATCTAAGCAAAGATAAATGGCTTGTTTTAAAAGGTGTTCCATACAAGGGAGAGGATGTGAATATGTGTGTTCAGGTCAAGAGGACATGATAGGACTGTAACAGACCAACCTGGAATAAACTTGCAGTGCAGCAGTAACTGCATCTTTAGAAGGACCTGTGGTATTTTAATACCACTTAAGTCTTCCCTTTTTACAACTCTTACTGATCTGAAATTTGTCCACAAACCTCTGAAAGAGTTTCTGAATAGCACTGCTTCTGGAAACCATTTCTATCTTTCATCTTGTTCTCATTTAGGAGTTGTTATGAGTTAAAACTTTGGCAAGCATTTACACACCATGCATCTGTAATCAATAGTACTTCAGAGATTACAAAAGTACGTTTTAATTTCCTAGTGCTTTTTTTCTGATTTCAATTATTTGCTTTTTATTTATCTCACCGTTCTGTGGCATTCATGTCCCATCCATATTCTGTATAACAAGATAGCTTTCTCTGTTGCTGATATATTTGGAAAACCCTTCCACAGTTTTACATTTTGCTTAATGTTCCCTTTTTTTCCTTTCTCTTCCCTCTTCTAAGACCTTTAACGAAAACTTACCAGGAAGTTGTGCGTTCTGTTTTTACGTCTTCAACATCTTCCTCTGGAGCCAGCAGAAGACAGACTATGAAGGACTTGCAGGAGGAATTCTCAAACTTGTACAACAACATCCGGTTATTTGAAAAGGGAACAAAGCATTTCACAGGTACAATAAATATATACTTTAAAAAATGAAAAATTAATATACTCCTTCAAGGATGTTGAATTTATTCCAGAATCTACATTCAAGGTCAAAGAAGAGCTACAGTTTAAAATGGAAAAACTTAAAGATGTTTACATGTTTGCATCTCTTCCCAGGTTTTATTGTGTGGCGGGGGGGGGGGGGGGGGGGGGGGGGAAAAAAAAAAGGAACAAATTTAGTGAGCTTACTTCATTGTCATCTGTGCCACAATGACAGAATTGAATACTACCTGATTCTAGGAATCCCCTGTTAAAATTTCTTTTAGGTTTGATTATGAAAGTAGATGCTCCTTGAGGGTAGTTTTTCAAAAAACTGTATATTCATTTTGTAGTGGGTTACTTTGTAACGTGTCTTCTTCAGCTAAGTGTATTTTGGGACAGAAAAGTAGCACTGGTGAAGTATTGTAGTTATTTCCAAGCTGTATTCAGCTTTCTTCTAGAACTTTCCCTGTGGAAAACTTATAACAAAAGGAAACGCTGGCAAAACCCCCTGATATTCCTATGTTTAGGATTATTTCCTATCAGCCTCTGTTCTTGCACGTGTTCTCTAGCCTCTTTTTTTTATTCTACTTTTTCAGTCTTAAGTCTGTTTAACTGCTTGTCCTGTAGACTTTTCCTTTACATACTTTTTACTTGTTGATGGATAGCAGTGATTGTTCATTAGTGGTTCAGGAGGACTGTACAGAGACTAGTTTACTGCTTATACAGATACCTTTGAAATACTAACAATACAATAAAACGTGCTTACAGACCTGAAAGCTCACATTTTTTCACTGAAGAATGTTCCATAAGCAACTGCAAACGAGGGATGTTAGCTTCATGTATCCAGATAACTTTCTCATACTACTCACGGTTGATAGAGTCCCTGTTTTAGCAAGTGCTGTGATAACTGTCATAGGAATCAGATAACTATAAGTTACTTCTAAGCACTTATTTCTTTTAACAGATGAGACTCAGACCAACCTTGCCAAACACCTGTTGAAGACTGTCTGTACAGACATTACAAATCTTATTTTCAACTTCCTAGCGTCTGATTCCATGATGACAACAGAAAATTATTCTACAATCACAAGTGAGGTACACAGATAACAGTTTCTTTTTAACAGTATCAAGTAGATCAGTGATGTTTATTTAATATTTAATTATCTTTTGTTTAAATATGCCTACAACTAAAATGGTAATTAATATTATGGATTATTCCCATTCTTGCCTCATACAGGTCCGGACCAAGATTTTAAGTAAATTGCCAGAAGACACCAAAGGTCCTTTAACTAAACTGCATACTTCTCTGAATGGCAAGGTAAAGTGACCCAGAATCTTTGAGTTCAGATTCTGCTGATACAATGCTAATAAACAGCTGGCATACATAGTGTAGTACATAACTGCTGCTGCTGCTGTGAAGGATGAAGGCAGAGTCATCTTTTGAATTTGTGTAAGTCAGTGAGAGTAAGTATGTTTTCATATCTGTGAATTTTAAGAGAATAAAAAGGTGATCTTACATTTCAATACTGATAGTCACCCAGCTCTTTGCTTCCAGATGGAATCCAGTGTATCTTTTATGTCCAGGTTTGAAAATTAAAGCTGAGAGAAAATCTGCAGTTTAAAATGATTGATGTTTCTTGTACTTTGTTCCTGAAGTTCCTGATTATCTCCTGTGCATTTCTTAACTAGTAAAAGCCTTGGTATTTAAAAAAACCCCTTCAGATTATGGCAGTGTAAGTAGAAAGGAATTTATTAATTCCTTTATGCAAAAGGCCATACTGATATGTTTCTTAATGAGAAATATCTGTGTAAATAATTGTAGAACATATATATTACTTTTTTAATTCAATTTTTAAGACTAATGAATTATAGTTTGGTTTAGTATTTAAGTATATGGACTACTGGAAGATTAATGAAGTTAATTTCTACTAAATACTTTTTGCTTTCTCTTTTTTCCATAGTTTATTCCAAATGTATTCACAGTCATCTGTTTGTTTGATCAATTGTGAAGAGTAGTTAACCTTTTTTATCATCTGCAAACACAGTTTAAATATTTATATCATTTTTAATAGAGTGTAGAAGATTTTCTTTCGTGCCTTGATTCTGCAGTGGATATTTGTGGTATTATGGTGAAAAAAGGAGACAAAAAGAAGGAAAGGTAACTTAATTTTATTTATTCTATGCCCAGTATGTGAAATGTAGCTCTGTTGCTGCACAAATGTTAGATGGCTTGTTTGGTAGCAGTCACACAGAATGTGTAAGAGACAGCCTTTCTTTCCAAACTGTTTAACTGAAAAATACAAAGCCAAGCAGTCGTAATTCCATGGGAGAAGGAGGAGGGGAGAGTTCTTATTCAGCTAATTAGCTTCACTCACTGCTCACTACAACATAGTTTATACGTTCTCTAGAGGGCTTTCAAAATCTGAGCCACACCAGTGGCTAGCTTTTTTTTTTTTTCAGTGTGGAAATTCACATAAGTAAGTGGTCTGTCAGAGGAGAAAATTAAAATTAGCTGAAGTTAGATATGTTTTAGTCTATTATCAACTACTCTAAAAGAGAATGAGAAACATATTTTATGTCATGTATTCCTGTTCCTTAGGCAAGTCCTGTTTCAGCATCGACAAGCTCTGACTGAACAGCTAAAAGTCACAGAAGATCCAGCTCTTATTCTGCACCTGACATCAGTGCTGTTATTTCAGTTTTCAACCCACTCTATGCTTCATGCACCAGGAAGATCAGTACCACAGATCATTAATTTCCTAAGTGGCAAGATTCCAGAGGTATTCCTTTCTAGCTTTTTAAGGGGAAAGTACTTCTTTTTCTATGATGGAACATAAAAGGTGTACCTCATACTATTTCTGATGCATAAGACTGGCACCTTTGTGTTTCATGTCTAATCTTTACTTTATGTACAGAATGTACAATTTCTCTGATCTGTATTGTATTTCAAACCTATCATTCAGGGCTCTTTCTTCAATATTTTTAAAATAAAGTAAAAAATCAGTCTCTTATTAGTACTGCAGCTTTTGCCTTTTTCTATAGAGACAACTATGTATTGGGGAATATTATAATCCTTATAACTGAAAAATTTTACACTCTCTTTCCTCCCAGCTAGAGCATGGTTGCTTTTTAAAGTTTTCTAATTCAGTTTTAAAGAAAGGTAGACCTCTTCAAAACTAAGAATATTTAGATTCTGTATTCTAAACTGCCAAAACTGGTGATGCTTACTAACTGCATTGCGTTCATGCTTCAGCGGTTAATTTTCCTGTTCTTGCAGCATGGATGCACTTTCATTTTTCTGCCTCTTTGAATGTCTCTCAGAATTTAGGTTGCAAAATACCTTGATGGAAATATATTTATGTATCACTAATCCTCTTTAGGCAAGAATGGGAGAATCCTTTTTTAAAAATTTAATTGTTAATTAAAGGTCTCTGTACCATCTCCGTAGCATTGACATTCCTTTGTTTTGTTCTTTTTTTTTCCCCTCAGGATCAGCATTCTCTGTTAGTCAAATACCAGGGATTAGTAGTGAAACAACTGATCAGCCAGACTAAGAAAGCTGAACAGGTAGATGATGACACAACAGATAACCTGGAAAAGGAGGAAGGAGTAGATACTATTCGAAAAGAGCTCCAGGAAATCACTACCTCTATCAAGGATCTTGTTCTCAGGCCTAGGAAATCTTCTGTAACAGAGGAATAATATTGTTGTTCAGTGCATCCACAGCCAGAATTTATGGGATTTTATCCTGAAGGGAAGAACAGCAGAAAATGCTTCACAAACTTTAAAATTTGGCTTCTAACAGTTGCAAATCACAGCCAGGGAATACATTGTTGGGTGATGGTGGCAAATGGAGTTTTATTGTATACTGCTACAGTGTACGTGTAATATGCATTAAATGTTGATGTGCCAGAGCATAGTTGTGGATGCTTTGGGTATGAAATTAGTTGTTTTTAATTGGCATCTTCATGTGAGGCCTCAATAAACGGTTATTCTTCAGATAACAGTGTATTCTGTTCCATACGCACGCAGGCTTGTAGTTTTACTTCTCAGATTGGATTTGTAGTGATGTAAGGATTGCATATAACTGTATATAAGCCTGTATATCTTAATTTCAAGGACAAGTTTTGAAACAGAATCACAGAATCACAGAATGGTAGGGGTTGGGAGGGGACCTCTGGAGATCATCCAGTCCAACCCCCCTGCCAAAGCAGGTTCACCTGGAGCAGGTTGCACAGGAAAGCATCCAGGTGGGTTTTGAACATCTCCAGAGAAGGAGACTCCACAACCTCTCTGGGCATCCTGTTCCAGTGCTCTGTCACCCACAAGGTAAATAAGTTTTTCCTCACTGAAAACCTACACTGATACCTAATAGTATACAAATGAAAGGCCATCTTTAATGTTTTCAGCTTCTATTCACTGGGCTGCAGCAGTAAAAACATTAAGTACAAGTATTGCTAAACTTAAAAGAAGTGACCCAGTACTAATGTGAGTTTATAAATGTACTGAAAGCTTATGAAAATCAGCACACTCATGCTATTAATGTGTTCTGTTAATGTCCCTAGTAGCAGTTCATTTAAAACTTGTAACTGGGATAGAGGAGTTGATACCCTCTTGCATCGGTACTGATAAACGCTGTTAACGCCTGCCTTATTTTACATGCTATGTGCATTCATTTGGACTTGCTGAATTTAGTCCAGTTCCCATAGCAGTTAGAAGCACTTGCTTGCATTCTGTGAGCCCCTTAAGAGAACTTGTGGTATTCTGTTTATCCCAAGTTTCTTGACAAGAATTTCATTTATGATCTTTCTACATAAACTTTATAGACCAAAATATTGGCTAAAGTGTTTCCCTCAAGCTTTTTACCAGCCTTATTTTCACATGAGCAGTACTTTATGTCCTCAAGAAAATGGAAAAATATGTAAGATTTCTGCCACTGTTAATGACGAAGTTCTTGCATGTCAAATATACCTCTAACATTTTTAAGAGAAAATAATTTTCAAACCAGAAATATTTTAATTGTGTGACTTTAGTAATGTCCATTGATTTAATGTGTGTAATTTCAGGTTTTTACATAAAACCAAATTTGAATAGTAAGACAAGAATAGAGTTATTTTCACAAAAAATGTCATTCACCCATTCATGCCAAAATTTTTTGATGCTGAAAGAAAGCAAGTTCTGTGCAAGCCCTACTTTGTTCAAATATTTCTGTTTTCCAACAGTTCACATATTCTATAAAATCAATCATAAATATATCCAAGCCTGAAACTGCAACAAATGAAAGTTGAAAAGGCCAAGTATGGAATCTCAGTAACAGATTAACCAAGATTAAGTTAATTTTGGTAAGGTAAAAAAAAAAAAATAATTTTATACATATATAGAATGCAATAATGTTTAACAATGTTCACATCAATGCTGATCTTTTACCAGCTGTAAGGCAAAACAGTTTGCCAGCTGTAAGACAGAAGGAAGGGTAGTTATTTCTCTTTCCTTGCCTGGAGGCTGTCAAGGCGACAATAAATAACAATGAGAGTAAGAGATGAAAAATATTCAGGCTGTGTAACTTTTCTAAGAAATAGTTTGCATACAGGGAATAGATTTGTATTCTTGTTATTTAGCCAGAATGATTATGAAGTTCCTATACTGAATATAAACAATTTTATATTTTTGAGCTATTTTGTAAATAATATGTCATATGACATTCTGTCAAATATGAAATTATTTTCATAACATTAAATGCTGAAGTATTTAAAATGCATTCTGTTGACTTCACCAATGGTTGATCATCTTGTAACTTGCAGCTTTCAAACAGCAATTGGCAATATTCACAATTTGATTTAACATGCCATTCTGAGTGTATTTTTGTTTGATACTGTTTTATGCTGGAATAATAATGAACTACTTATAAAATTTACTTTATCATGTGTTAGAATTGCTATAATGTAGTTAATGTTATAAGAATGATTAAAGAAATACATTCCTTGACATAGATATGAGGGAAGCACTAAAATTCAGAGAATCTTCTGGCTACTAAGAGAATTGAAGAAGACGTAGGTTGGAAAACCATCCCAGATATTTTTGTTGTCTCTTAGATGTGGAAAATCAGTCTTTAGTTTGTGAAATAGAAAGAGAAGGAAAAGGAATATTCACAATTTCCTGAGTATTTTGCTAATTTATGGTTTTTTCCTCTGCCTTGGAGGAATGTATGCAAGAGGAAGAGTAATCTTGTCTTAGAAATCAGAGGTTCAGTTCACAAAACAAAACTGCCCTTTGGAACACTTATGAAAATGAAAGGCAATACAAAGTATACAAATTAATGCTTGTACTTTGATTTTAAGTATTTAATGTCAGTGTCTTGTGCCTATGGTATTTAAATACCATTTAAATACCTATGGTATTTAAACACCACCATTACATCTTTGCAGACTCATAAAGGTAATGTGCACATGCGCATGTATGTATATATATACACAAATATTTATGAACATGCATCTCATAGGCTCATTTGCTGCTACTCTCAGCAAATTGTAATGGGTGCATTAGCCATAGGTAGAATAATCCCCTTCTCAGCAACAGCCTTTCCTTTCCCTGGTTTTAAGTGGCAAAATGTGACTTTTGTAGCTGGTTATTTGCAGGTCTACTGGAAATAACTGTTGCTCTTTTACAACTTGCAGCCTTCTTACCAATTCTCGTTTCGCAGCTTCTTGAAAAAAAAAAACATGGCACAGGTTTCTAAGTAGCAGCACTGGGATTTGTTGTCCATGTGAATCCATTTTACAGCTTGTTCAGATAAAACTACAGTACTTCTGTTCTCTGTGTAGGCTCATGAGTAGGCTACTGATACAGTGGTGGCTCTTTTAAAAGAAAAAAAATAAGTAAGTTACATTTTCTTTAGGCTAGGAAAATGGAAATATCTACAAAACTGTGTAGACTTGGGGGTTTTTTAATAGGAAGTCTCGTACTCTTGCAGAAGAAGTGAGTGACTGTACTGGGTCAGATCGAAGGTCTGTGTAGCCCAGTATTGTGTCTCCAGCAAGGGCCAAAAGCAGATGCCTAGGGAGGAATATAGGAACAAGGCATGTAGTAATTTTTCCCTTGAGTGTTTTTTGAGCCTCCAAATATGTGCTGCTCAAACTTTTTAAATGATGATTATAGTTTAAATATAGAAAATGGTAATTATCTGCAGCTTTTGGATAAACAGGATACTTGTGAGAGCAGAATTCCTTTCTCTGCTGACCCAAATAACAGAACATAGTCAGTAAATGCCAGAGATGTTTTCTCAGGAAAACAACTAATTAATTTATTTTTTTTTTTTTTTTTTTTAAAGGAATTGTTAAGGAATTACATCTTTTTAATAAAATTTAAACAAAAAAAAAAAAAGCAACTTAAGAAGCTTAAAGAGAAACACCGTTTGCTTGATGAATTTCCCAAGTCCTCAATGTGAAGAGGAAGCGAGGTTGGAACAGGTCATGTCTGGGGACAGATGAAATAAGCTGGTTTCTATTTCAGGAAGTTCAGGAAATGTGAGAACTGTATGAGACATCATCAAACTAATATTCTGAAGAAGCAGCAGAGTTTTTGTTGTCCTCTTCAGTTGTGCTCAATTTGCACCTGTTGGCAAAAACTGACTCTGTTTTAAGTGCTTCTCTGGGCATGTCTTCTATTAACATAGTTATGATCTCTGTCTACAGTGAGATTAATTTAATGATAATCTTTGAAGTTTAAGGAAGGTGATATGCTAGAGGAGATGTCTGTACTTCCCATACTTTCTGAAAAGAACATAATATGTTAACACTATTTCTAATTGTCATTAGCTCTTTTGACAGATCTGTTTGGATAATACTTTTATCTTGCTCTGTCTTAGGATCTTCAAAAGGTTCTTGGTCAAGAATTGTACTTTCATTTTTTTTTCTTTTTGGAAGTAAGGGCAAGAGGAAGCTATTCATTGTTCTCATTCTGGACTCAAACTCAGACCTAACTTGTCATCTGTCTTCTCAATCTGAAAAAAAATCATAAACTTAAAACAGCATAGAGTGCTTGATATAAAAAAAAGCATATAGCAATAGGAGGAAAGAAGAATGCAGTCTAGTTTGAGTAGGTGATAAAATACGTGTCTGCAGACGCTTAATAAACCAGTCAGAGATGATGCATTCTTGGCAGTAATAACCAAATAATCAGTCTGATGTAGTATCTTGCAAGATACTACCTAGACACAGATAACCTCCAGAACACATTATCCAGATTTGGCTATTTTACCAAAGTCTTCAGATAACATATTACATCTTTAAACCATTTAAATGTTCCCTTCTTTCTTCTGTCTGTGACATAAAGCAGTTCCCACCCACTAGACATTATAGATAAATGATTAAGATCAATTGGCTCTTGGTTGTGGAAAATTCTGCATGGAGGTCAGTCGTGGTTCATACCACAAGCAGCCATCCTTTTTTTCACTCTGCTTAACTTCAGAGTGCATTTTTAAGTGGACAAAATATATTTTCAGCTGGGATTGTTGAAGGCTGCATAGAGTCTTACACAAAGTATAAGCACTCCTGTAGGCTCCATGCATGTGGTAGACTGGGAAAGTTAGCTGGACCCTGTTCTGTCCATGCAAAAAGTAAACAAGATGACTGCAATTCAAAGAAGACCAGAACTGAGAAATATTGAGAGGGAATCACAGAATCATAAAATAGTTTGGGTTGGAAGGGACCTTTAAAGGTCCTCTAGTCCAACCCGCAACATAGAACCTAGAGGAGGACTCTGATGCTGCTCTGATGGTAACACCGTATGAACACCTTCCTGAATACTGGAAGAGTGGCAAATTGTTCCAGCCCAGAAACTGCTTTAGTAGTGTCAGAGCAGTTCTGCTGGGTCCCCAGAAGTTTGAAATTGGAGAAGTATTTCTTTCTGCCCCCCATTTCCAGTACGCAACAGTCAGACTTTAGTAATCACAATTTTTCTATTTCTTTTCTGAATTACAAGCCCATGTGAGGTCTTTTGGATTCGTTATATGTGGAGCAAAATGTATATCGGGGGGTGAATTATGATCCTTTTTTTTTTTTTTTTTTTTTTTCCTTCCTTCTGCTAAACAGTTTGGGACTTGGGAGTTTTGATTCTTTATTTTTTTAAAAGAAGATACTTTCAACTGTCTGAAATATGTTCCTTTAAGAACCTCCTACATGGTATGTATTTGCAATTTGTAAACACAGTATGTCAAAGTATGATTTGATTCAGTGGTGAGGCAGCCAGCTATTTGCATGTCATGAGGTCTAAGGGAAACAAACTGACCCTCAGCCTTCCTCCATCCAGCCAAATTCTGATGGGACCCTCAAATAGCTCTGGCAAAGTGTTCTGTTTCTTTTGGACTTGATGAATGCTTGTTTCTGTGAAGACGTGTAATTATTTCTGCCTTTATTTTCCTCCACAAGTTACCAAGAGAAGCAGCTTAAAACCGAATGTGAGTATTAAGGGTCTTTTCCATTATTCCTTTATTTCATTATGTTTAAAAGTGGAAGCATACAAGGTACGTAATTCAATATTTTGAACAAGTAAGCAGGAACTTTTTTCTTCTAATTAAATTAGATGCAGAATTCTGCGCATATATCTTTTTTATTATTATTTTGTGTACCATAATTCAATATTTTGAGCAAGTAAGCAGGAACTTTTTTCTTCAGACATGAAACTGCTAATTAAATTAGATGCAGAATTCTGCACATATATCTTTTTTATTATTATTTTGTGTACCAAAAGAAATACCACACCTTTTTTTGATACAATTATTTTCATTTTATTAATTGGATCACTCATTAATTTACAGGAATATTGGGGTTTCTTTTGTAATGAGAGGAGGATTAATTTTGTTTACTTCAAAGAAAAAGCCAACAAAAAAATGTACATTGCTTCCTGTGACATTTGAATCACCGTTTTTATCTCTTAGCGAGCTTTCATAGCTACTTGCTATTGCAAGAAAACTTTCTAGAGAGTGTCTTTTCTAAGGTAAGTCACTTGTTTTTAGCATAACTAATTTTAATACCTAACATGGATTGTTCTTGCTTTTTTTTGAAGCAAAACTAGTTTCCAAGCTGGTGTTTATAGCACTATTTTGACTTGTTATAAAAATCAAGTATAATCTCCAAGTTCTCCCTCCATAAGACACTTTTTTATCTTTTAGCTATCACTTTTCAGGATCATAATTTTGGTTTGGAATTTGAAGAGAAAGAGTAGTATTGAAGGGATATACCACTGTTTACCAAAATGGTGCTGGAAATGTGAGCTTATATTGCAGAAATAAAAAAGAAATACGGGTAATAGTGGAAATATTCCTCAAAGTCTATATATATTAATTGTACTGCTACCTGATTTCATAACTGAAGTCTTTTTGGTAATGAGGTTACCATTACATTTGCACAAAACTGTCAAATATAATTTCCATATTAATAATAGAAATGTTTGAAAATATATTTCTTTATCTTTCCCTGTTTTCAAAAGATCTGGTTTTATATCTGGAGCTGGGCACAAAATCTCCTACATTTAGAAAACAAGTTTCAGATGCCTTTTTTTGTTTGTGGTTAATATTTTCACCCATATTTTTCTTCTGGTTTTGTGATGAGTTGACATTTCTAGAGTACTTTAACAGAACCAGCTGTAACGGATTTAATATATTAACGTTATAACAGATTGCTGGTGGTCTTGCCATGTAGTTTTATTGCAGTGTCACAAAAGTCACTTTGCTTCAAAGTTGAGTGATTGGTAGCAACTTAAGACGGCATACTAACCTTCTCGTAGGATTAGAGCAAAATTAACACAAAAGCTGCTTGAAAGGCATCCTGATTATTTGCAACCTATGGTATCTCCAGGTTATTTGCAGGCAGTCATATTTTACAAAGCATTTATTTTTGTTGACTTGGTAAGACGTGTTTTGTGGGCTATATACTAATAAGCCCAGCTTTCTTCATTTTTTTCCATATCTTAGTTTTACTTCTCGAACAAAAACTTTTAGTATTGCCTAACCATGGACAGACAGAAAAAAATGTGAAAATCTCAACCACTGTGCTTCCAAATGTCAGGGCCAAAATCAGAGGGTGAAATTCTGACCCTGTTCAAATGAACAGCCCTCCTGTCGACTAAACAAGCTCTACTTGCTGTTCAGGCTGTTAGATCACCTGGGGAATAAAACTGACCTGAGTTTTTCTGCATGCTTCCCTACCAGTTAAGGGTAAGACGATGTCTCATATGAAATTCTAGGATGCTCATAAAATTAATGATTAGCAGTTCAAGTTTTCTATTAAAATCTCTAGAGCCCCAAGTTTGGAAGTTGGCATGGTGAAAAGCTGCTGATGTTCCGCTCACTCTCTTTCAACAGAATTCATTCTTCTGGGAACAGGGCACAGCTCTAGTGAGGAAGGAGTCTGTGAACTTCTCATTTTGTACATTTCTATTTCCCTGTATAATATAAGAGGGATGAAATGAGGATGGGTTTGTAGAAATACGCAGACATTACTTTAAAAACTCTGACCTGATATATTAAAAATAAGTTAATAAAACCCCATGACATAAAATTCTGTTGCAGACATATAGGGAGGGATAGAACTATTACAAAGGCTAACTAATCTCCCTTGGTTGCCTCTATAATGATGACTAAATTAAGTTTCTGCTAGGAATCACCCTGGAGAGAAATTGATCTCTCTCTTTTAACTATAAAATTGCCTTGTTCATTAGCCTCAGTAGGCTTAGGTTAGATTTTGTGAATATCCCCATTCTTCTCGGATATTGTACAGTATACATCAGCTATCATCCCTTCTTGTTTCCCTTTCTTAGACTAAGAGTTTTCTTTGACTCTACTTCATTCATGCTAGTAGGTTACTTTTATTCTCAACCATGGTTGTCTTTGAGCTTGAATTTTTCTAGGTTTGTATATAAGGACTGGTAAATTCTTGCACATCTCAACATATTGTGGATAATGGATCTAAACAGGCTGCCCTAGTTCTTTGCTGGCCTCACACTTGGATTCATTTTCCTCTGATGTGTCTTTGTACATAGGTAGCAGAATTGATAGAAAGAATGACCTCGTGACAGAGACTGGCATAACTGGTGACAGAGCACACACACAGGAGACCAGAATTCAGTCCAGAGTGACTTTCAGCATGTTGTTCTGTGCCTCAGTTCCCCATCTGTAAACCAAGTTGGTTACACTGGGCAGAAAAAAATGAGTTCAAACCCATGTTATCCAAAACTGTCTGGAAACAACCCAAATTGACTGGAAAATCCTTCATAATTAGGAATTCTCTCAACCGCTGTAGCCCTAAGACTTTTGACACAAAACTGGAAAAATTCCACTCAGAACATTTTGCCTGAGAATATTAATCATAACCTCAGAGTAATTAAGGACAATGTCAAAGTCCACAACTGGAATATTTTATTGCTTCAGCTAATTTTAGAAGTGGTTTCTACCTCTGGCACTGGAGGATGACCACCTGGCAACCTTTTTACAATGTTTTTAACTATCCTGGGCCAGTGCCATGGATGCAGCCTGATGAGCAGACCCATCTAATGGTAAAGGCATAGTGACTGGCTTCTTCCCGCTCCTCCAGGTTTGCTCTCTGGCCTCGAGCAAGTCAATTACTTTGCTTTGACAAGTATTAACCTTTTCTGTAGACAAGTATCTCACAACTGTGTTTTAGGATTACTTCTTTTAGTGTTGTTAGAAAAACATTCTGAAACCTTTGAAAAGAAGGCTGTAAAATCCTTCAGAGTATTAGGTTATAATTCTATTTATCAGAAGCCCAGAACAGTATTAGGCTAAAAATCTATCAGCAACCCAGTCTTCCTCGAGTTCTTCAAGTTTCAAGTTCAGCCACATCATGATTCATTTATGTATTATAACATGCAAATTATGGCATAATTAGAGTTGTGTGAGTCTGGGATTCTATTTGCACAAAAAAAAAAAAAAAAGAAAAGATTAGAGGAAAAACTGTTTCATGCTTGTCAATCTTTGTTTAGTTTGATGCTTGAAAATTTAAGAGCTTTGAGAAACATTTCAAATTAAAACCTCAAAACATTTTTTTTTTAAATACAGTAGCAGAATTCTTAATTTGCTTAATCACTTGCTTAGAGTTTTTACTGAAAACATTTACCAAATTTAACATAAATTAGCAAAAAGGACTTGAACTATATTTGTTCCTTAATGCAGTTTCTGCTGCTGCTTACCACTCTCCTCCTCCTCTGACTGATCTTATGCCCCACAGCTGGTCAGAGTTATGGCTTCTGAGCATCATCCCATATTGAAACCAGCCAGTTCCATTCTAGATCTGCAAGAATGGTTGCTACATGTCAGGCTTCACATTCACTTGAATAGACTTTACTGGTTTCAGTGGATTCATTGTTCCACAGTATCCCTGAGTTAAATAGTATATTCTTAAAATGTTCCTAAATGTTAGAAAGGAATTTCTTCATGCTTAACAAATTTCACTGATTTTTTAATTTGTCTTTGTCTGAGTCAAATGTTTACTGTCTTGGGTGTTCAGATAAACATTAGCCTTAATGTTCCTTCAATCAGAACAGGGCAGTCCTACACTGGAACCAGCTTTTAGATAGTGTGTATTTATAATCACAGAAAGAAATTCACTCTGAAAGTCATGGTGCCAAAACCAAAAAAAAGGACATTTTCACATGCCAGGACATTACAAAAATCCCAGCAGGGCAGTAACTGAAGGGTCAGTAACCTCATATCATAATAAAGAAAGACAGAATACCATGGTCTACTCATTGCAGGGTCTAATTTTAAATCATAGCCACTTTTAGGGAGATAGACTATGTTAAAATAGAAATAAATATGTCTAATGTCTGGCACAGAGACTTAAAGGCTTAAGGGAAATGTTAGGATACGCAGTCACAGAATTGTTCAGCAGACCTTATCTCCTAAGCAGATAGGACAGGTAATGTAAGAGGCCCAAAGATTTCAAGTACATGGCAAAGGTCACTGGCAGGACATGAACAGAACCCAGGGCTGAGTCTCTCTAAGGACTAGTTGATGTTGCTGCTTGCAGGACATGAGGTTTGAAGTTAAAACAGAGTTGATGCCATGATAAGCTATACCTTGTTTGACAGGATATTATCTACTCAACTGCTAAAGACTAAGGAGGTCTTCAGTTAATATTGTTGTTCTGGTTAATGACTGATGCACAAAGCCACATATTTAAATAAAAGATAAAACAAAACAAAAAACCTAAACGAACAGAAAACCCTACAAAATAAACACACAAACAACATTTTTTTCTATACTCAGTCCTAGTAACACTGCCTTATTTTTCCTCTCTGGTAGAGGGTGAACAAGAAGCTGAAGACCTCCTTTTTCCTCACTCCTAAAGGGGTTCACTGCCATCAAAAGTTCTGTTGTCATCTCTCTTCTAGAACCAAGATTTTATATTGTGAGTCATATATCCTTTTGCTGCATTGGAA